TAGTTAATGGGCACTGGGGACATTCCCATGATCTTCCAGTGGAATCTGAATTAAATGAACATTCAGGCAGAGGCAAATCTACTTCAACCATACAGTTGGTAGGTTACCGATATGACATACTTCCCTGATTTTATATCCTTCTTTCTCTGTTCCTCAAAAAAATGAACCAAATTAATGTAATAAATCAGTATTACTTTTCAGTCTTTATTGATTTGTCCTTTATTACATGACATGATTGTCAGAAATTTCTAGATTTTGAAGTTTACAATGAGCTTTTACAGACATTTCAAACAGATTTTAAAAATAATTTTTCTTAAGTGTGTATCAGATTGATATAACAATACACTTCCTGTCCTACCTTTTGTTGATAAAATTCTTGATGATTTTCCTCCTCTGTTCTTTTTAAAAATTTATCATATGTAAGGGCAGATTCTCCCATGGGAAAAACTTCAGGATTTTCTGCAGTGAAAGATAAGTACATAATTAGTGAACAGATGATATCTTGGACTGTTCTTGAGCATTTTTCCACAGATTTGAACAGAATCATAAACAAGCTGGATATCTGGGAATGGTGCTTACCTATAAGAAGTTACGTAATTTTCTATTGGTCTGTGGAGAGTATCCAGACAGATACATCTTTGCAAACTAAATTGATTCATATCTTTTAGCGTGTTTTTGCTTTTTCTAACAAATCTCTTCAGTTTATATGTAGTATCTAGATACATAGGTTCCTGGTTATTTATATCAGAATCTCCAGAGATCTTCTATAATGTGCACTCCATTTTACTAAAGAAGGTGTGATGGGTAAGAGCATCATGAGCCACTGCTAATCTCTCAAACACAGTTGGGAAACTCAATTGAATGCAGAGCAAACAGACAAGCCAAGAATGTTTACTAATTTGTGAGCCACGTCATAGCTTCCCATTTATGATAATGAATGATCCTGTCATTCCTCTCAGCTGCAAGATCGCTCTAAAGTTATGTATAGATCACATGAACTAGCCTGGCTTAGCTAGTTTGTACAAGAGCAGCCAATTTTTCAGAATCATGTGAGTAATAGTAAGACAAACACTGGTTGACTAAGAAAAGCTTATAAATCCTTCAGGTCAGTGATTAGTCTTGCAGTTTTGACTCAGAGTTCAAAGAAGTGGCATGTGAATAAATATTATAACAGAAGTGGAACAATTACTGGAATTCATATCACTGGCTGCAATCATGGGAATTAAAGACTTTTATTTTTCCTTTAAAATGTAAAATTTAAAACCCAAATCCTTTCCCTTCCCTCCTTATGCTTCTACAGCACATATCCCACATCACAATCAAAATAATACCAGCCAAGAAACATACCCTGTTTTGCAGCCAGTACACATCTCTGCTATAGTTTTTGGAATGGTGGCTGCTGTCCCTAACAAAGCACTCTTCGTGCTGCTGTTGACTCTTCACTGGCTGCCATAATAGCTTTAATATGGTTTTTTGGCCAAAAAAAAAAAAAAAAAAAGTAGTGATTATAAATTCAGTTCATCTAGTTTCAAGTAAACAAGTTTTTTGGCCTATCTCATCCTTGCGCAAATTTCTAATAATTTCTCTGGTCAGAAGGAAAAGCTCCAGGGAGGTAGTGGGAGAGAGAGATCCCTCATGTTCTCACTTCTCTCCCCACAGTTGCAGTTTCTGTTCATTAAACATTAGGGCTGATGCATCAGATTAACTCTCTAGGATAAAGACAAAGATACTGTCTCTTTCTTCACTTGAAATAAGGGTAAATTTCACTCACTGCAGTGGAGTGTACTCATGTGCTGCTTTGCCCAGCCAGTGACGCCTGATGCTAAGACAAAGCCCTAACTAAAGGCCAAAAGGCAAGGCACTGGAGGCTGTATCACCCTGAAGAAAAAAAAAAAACTATATTTTGAAAGGGTGTGAAACCTACCTATGATCATCTTTTTTAGTCTTTTTTTTTCACAGAGTAACTGTGAAGAACATGAACTCCAAAGAGACTCTGGTGTCTACCCATTTTCCCTTGGAAACCCTGTAGATACCCTATGCAGCAGGAAACTACAATCACCCAGTCGTGACAAAATCAAAGATACAATTTGAATTATAATGTCATTTTTAATTCTGCATTTGGCTCCGATTTTTGTGTATTCAAGCAGAAACATTATTTTCTTGGGTTACAACAGTGCTTATGAATGTCTTTCTTCCTACCTGAATTAGACTGTAACCTTTTCTGGGCAAGGGAGGTTTCTTTTTTATGTGTTTCTGCAGTACCAATCATACTGCCAGTGTTCAACAAATAATTCTAATGATATCTGTGCAAATAACAGCGACTATCTCTAATTCAAAAAGCTTGAACTTATTTGATATTTTCCTGCATTTATAGCAGCAGCTGGAAGAGCCCCTTAACACTGATCCATTATCTTTGCTTTTAACTAGAGAAGCCCAGAAGATTCCGAGTCTGCTGAAATTCCTCCAGAGAGTAAGGCGATCAGCAAAAAAAGTTAGTATCAATAAAAAGACTAGACAAGTAACAGGAAAAGCCTTCAGACCTAAGATGGAATTGAAAGTGTGAAACTGGCTTAGCTCTGCGTTTGCTGTGTGCTACATCATCACATCTGATGGTCCTTGGCTACATAATTTAATCTCTGCTTAAAGACCTTTTCAGCTGCCAACCCTGTAATTGTGGAGTTCATTAATCTTATACTGTCCATGCTTTAGTGCTTGTTTACTCACTGTTGCAAACCATTTTTCTAAAGCCTTTGCTTAAAGCAAAATATTCAAAATTTAATACAAAACAGATTTTTATAATTGTAAACTTTGCTTGGGCTTTTATTTCTGAAGGTAGTGAAACGATTGTTTTGTTGACTCACTATGCTAATATAATTCTGCTTCCTTCTTCTCTTACACAGTAAAGCAATAACCTCTTTAGACCAGTAATGATTTATTACATATATGGAATTATGTGCTCATGATGGCTCTCAGTTTTAGGATAATCTGTATTCTTCAGAGAGCTTCAAAGCTATCTTCTCTGTTTTGTTGCTGCTTAGTCCAAAAAATGGGCAAACAGAGCATAAACAAAACTCTGCCTTTGACTCTAGTTGTGTGACCTTGGTGAATTTAGCAGAGTTGCAGTCATTCAACTGAGGGAATAATATTTTAATTGAAATCAGTTTATTTACTATAATCAACTCCCCTTTATTTTGTGATCTCAGATCTCAGGTCATCAGCTTATTTAACAATGTCATTATGTTCTTCTAGGTTTTTATTATTCTTCTCTATTCTTGTGGACTTCATTTCCATTTCTGAGACTTTTGAAATTTGGATTTTCATTTCTTCAGTCTCACCTATCCAGCAGTACTCAATCCAGCACCAGTTTCAGTGTGACTATCTAGTCCATCTCTAGGTGTTTCCTTTCTGTTGAATCATCACTACCTGCTAAGCACAAACAAATTTCTAGTGATCTCAGTGCTATTTGTTCCAAATAACTCAATTTGGTGTATAACTACATTTGGAATAGTTTCTCAGTAATGTTCTTTGTTTGGCTCCATTTTTTCCCTCATACTTCAGTTTTACGTCTATATTAGAAATCAGTAAGTGAAACCATAGTAGGGAATGGGGGTCGTTTTGTTTGAGAATACATATTTTGAAAAGTTTGTATTGTTACAGTTCTTATGAATAACTAAATGCATAAACATACCTGGGTAACTTGATACTGGGCTAAACTTTTAGGTGTTTTTTTCCCCAAATGGAATGGAATCTGCAGTTCTAAGACAGAAGCCTGACATCTCCAGAAATGTCAGACTTCACTGTAAACACATGTCAAGCAGGACTGCGAGAAGAGTCAGTCACCTTAGATAGCCAGTGAGTAACTCAGGAAGCAAGAAGCTACTGGAAGAAAAAGATGTCTCACTGGCCCTCTCCTCATTTATCCACACTTGTTCTATCAGTATCTGTAAAGGTCAAACAGCAGCATTTTGTATTTGGTATACTCAGTGAGACTTTACATTAACTAGAAATATTTTTCCTCTATGAGTAATGAAAACATTGGACAAAATATCTGTTTATGGATAAACATTTGCTTTAAACTGTTATTCAAAGCTTAAAAAGCATAATCTGTGGTGGGAGTCCTGCACCCATTAGCTTTATGGAAATTATGGAATAGAATTTGCTATGAGTTCTGATTCCCTATTTAAGCAGAGAAGATTATCAAAAATAAATGTAGGATTGTTTAAAATGAAGAAGCTTTGTAGAAATAGTTAGGGTAATAAGTTAATAGCTAATAGTTACTGTTGCAGCAATATAACGCAGTGAGATAATTGCTAGTAACAAAGTTGCTTTAAAATAGGCTGAAAGTAAATTAAGATAAACATTTAGATTTGTTTATATATGCATCTTCTTAACTTTCAGTCAAGTAAGTTCACAAAGCTTACATTTGCAATTGCTCCATAAAGTTAACCTGATCCCTATGTTATATTATAGACAGCACTCTGGAGTGAGTTCCAGTAACCATGGTATATCTTCTTCAACAATCAGATACTTGACTAAAACAGACTAATAATATCTCAGGGCAGGCCATGATTTTGTCCTTGCCAGTGCTTGTTACAAATCACAAACTTAATGTAATGCAGCAATCTATTATTTCTATGTAATTCATGCTCTGCACTATTGATTGTAAACTGCCCATAGTGTTTAGAAAGAACTGTGCAAACTGGGGACATCCACGTCTGGCTCTGTAAGCTGGCAGGAAAATCTAACAAGCCTGCCAATTTTTCTGAACCCGCAGAGCTCCCAGGCAACTAGGGAGGATTTTCTGAATACAGTTGTTAGGCTTTTATGTGCTGTGTGTTTTTTTTTTTTATAATAGTCTGAAGACTTCAGTTCTAGCCAGTTTCTGTAAGAAAAACATCTCCCCCATCACTATAAAATGGTCATCTCTGGAAAAATTACTGAAGTGAAACCTTGTAACAACTATATTCAGACAGTTCTGTTCAGGTCCACGTTAGCTCCTCAGACTGTCATACTATGTCTGTGTGGGGCCAACAAAAGTCAGGAAAATACATGATGTTTAGGGCCCAAATCACGACCCTGCTTCTTCAGGAATAAAAGCAGCCCATTGCAAAGTGTTCTGTCCATACAGTGTAGGGGGAAGCTGGATGAGTTTCCTGAGAGGCATTAGAAGGTCCTGCTTGTAAGACTGTGGATAAAATGAATGGAACTAAGCACAGGATAGGGGAGCCAATTCTATGTTGCTAAGGCTAAACATTGAGCCTATATATGGAGCCTCATTGCTACTTAAAGAGATAAAATCCCTCCCCATGAATCCATTCATCGTGATACATGGCTGTCTGGGTTACAGGCTGGACAGAGAGACTGTCCCTAATTCCCTAGCTTGATTTCAGTACTTTTATCACTAGTGCACCTTTCCTCTCATGTCAGATGCCTGATCATGAACATCCAATGTACTGTTCCACACTAAAGCAAGGTCACAGAACAATATGGGAAAGAAAAACAGCTATCTGCATCCATGAGTGATGCTGCAGAAAAGAGTACTATGAGCATACCGGCCATTAATTGATTGGAACAAAAGTTGGAAATGAGAACGCTGTAATGCTGTACTAATAGTTATACTCTGAGGCTTGTTGCCTTTCATCTCTATCTTTCACTGTAATATAATCGCATAAAAACCAGACCCTGAAAATATTACTCAGTAGTAACATGCTTTACAATATTAAAATGATCAGCTGCATGAGACTAAATATTCATCTTCATTATAGCTGTGCAATTCCATGAGTGATGGTGAAAACAACTCCCACTTTTAAGGAAAAAAAAAAACCCAAACCATGTAGAATGCAAGAAAACTTGTGTGAATTTCAGCAACCAAGGAAAGATTAATGGAAACCTTTAGGACATGTCATGAGACTGGAGTCAAACTGAACTCTAAGTTTTTGTCTAATAGTTGATCCAGTAAAAATAAAGAAGCTACTTCCTGGTATTTGCATCTCTGAATTATTCTACAACCTACTTTTTCATTTCAAGTGTATTGAAAGAAGTACAAGGACAAAACAGATAAACACTGTTGTCCTCTGATTATTATGACTGCTCATGATGTTGTATGTGAAAAACCCCAAATAATTTGTAACATAGCAAAAATTACAATATCTGTTTGTGTTAAAACTTCTGGATCTTTTTGCTGTTTGTTTGTTTGTTTTTTCCTAGGTAAGAAAATTAGCTTGTTAGCAATAATGGTTCTGGTGGGTGACAGTCTTCACAATCTTGCTGATGGCTTGGTAATAGGAGCAGCATTCTCATCCTCAACAGAAACAGGTGTGACAACGACTATTGCTATTTTATGCCATGAAATTCCTCATGAAATGGGTAAGAAATACATGTGTGTATTTTTTCTGACTGGTTCCAGGTTTTCCAAAGAATCCTTTCCTGTATGACATTAGTGGGAATTCCTCTTGCTTACAGCATCGTGAACTATAGCATTAATGTGTGAGATGGATACATAAAGAGGCTGTTTTCTTCTCTTTCTCCTTCACAAAAAGGAGGGGAGGTTTCTGCTCTCATTATTGGATGCCATCCCATCTCACCTTCCCCAAATGTAAATGCAATCAGGTCAAGAGTGATCCATTATTCTCATGTGTACAGACACAAAAAATAGTAAGCTGTGAGCAAGAGCCATGTGTGCATTAATGGGCATGCCTGACACAACGGGCTATCCAAGAGTTTTAATATGCAGCAGAACCATTGAACAATGTGTTCCTCATGCTACCCTCATTCCTG